CTGCTCTCTGTGATCCCCACCAACAAGGGTGAGAGGAAATAGATGCAGAGGTTCACAGACTTTGGAAAGAGATGAACTCGTGTATCAAGAGAAATGTACATTTTTATTTAAACCCTGAGTCTTCCAGCCTAAACTTAGACTGGAAGATTTTAAGAGGTTTTGAAGAGAAGAATCAGCTTCTCTTTTTTATGACTGGCCAATTCCAAATAGTACCTAGGGACTGAGTTGAACCAAGAGCTGGCTTATTTTTGCTCTAGTGGGTAAGTCAATCACTCAGGTATTACTTTGTGCCTCTCCTATGCCTAGGACAATGCTAAATACATTGACGGTTGCAAAAGAAAAGTGCAGTATGCTACCAGACGGTGAGATAGACTTATGGTGAAACTGCTGCATCTGTAATATCTAGTCCGGAAGAAGCTGCTCTTCTAAGCAGTCCATTTAGAAGGTTGCACACTTATTTCTGAGGTGTTGCTGAGAAGGGCTGTGGCATCCTCTTTGGGAAATGTCTTTGGGCCTCGGGTAAGGACTCATATGAACCTGACTCCATCACCATTGTAACTTCTCTTTTTCTGGTTATCCAGCAGAGTTAGCTCCCTTGTTTACTAGAGTTAGTTCTCAATACCTTTCTGTATTCTCAGAAATCAGATATACGCTCAGCAAACAGAGAGTAGCCACCCACTGAATATCTGCAAGAATGTGCTGTAGCCGTTGAAGGCAAATCCCAAAGTATATTTTAAAACTCTATGGCAGATTATATTTTCCAAAAACACCATCTCTCATCGTATTTCTCATCCTATATACTTTTCAAGAAACTTGACACTCAAGTTAATTCTCTTCCCCTTGAAACTAGGTAAGCTTCTGACTCACTTATAACCAACAGAATGCATGGAAGTGATGCCGTCTGACTTCAGTGTGAGGCCATAAAAGGCAATTCAGTTCTGCCATGTGAGTTGAGCACTCTCATCAGAGCCCTGGACCACCATGTAAGCACGCTGATGGTGCTGCGGCCGCCATGCTGTGAGGAAGCCCATACTCTCCCACGTGGAGAAAGCACATGCCTACGAGGGGTGGGAGAGTTCCAGCCGGCCTCCAGCTGCTGCAGCCCTCTCCTCTCCTAGCTCCAGCCATCATCTGACGGCAACTGCTTGAGACCCAGAACTGTTCAGTCAAGCTCTTCCTTGTTTCCTGTCCCACAGAAACTGTGAGAGAGAACAAAACGATCGTTATTTTAAGTGCTGGTAGATTTTTATTTAAGATAAAATAATTCTGGGCTTTCCAGGAAAAAAAAAAGCCCCATTTGCAGTGTTTGACTATTTCCATGGTGTAAATACTCCCATGATGGCCAAGCTTAAGCTACCCATGTGATGAACAGAATTGGGAAGAGATGCTCACAGCAGGCTCTGGCCTGCAGCGTGAGCTGGCTCCAGTACACCCCCGTATGCAGTGCCAGAGCAGACCCCAACAGAGGACAGCTCTACAGGGCCAGCTGGGGCTCCTGAGTGTGTAGTAAAGTTCCTTCCCCAGTTTATGTGATGGAGCCCAGAGCCAGCGAGCACCGGGATATGTGGAGCTCATTTGTGCTTGCCTTTGGCCAAGGTAGAGAAGGAGGCCCTTCTGGCTTCATGTAGACAGAGAACTGATTCCTCTAACCAACTCTAAAGGACCCCTAGTTTGACAGTATCTTCTCACAGTACAGAAAAACACAGCAGAGCAAGCCCCTCCCCTTCTAAGGGGTAGAGACGCAGAGGACGGTGGGAGTTAGGCAGAGCTCTTTAGGGTTTTGAAGACCTTGCTCCCCTAACTAGGCTGGGAAAACCTGCCCTAAAGGATTTGACGAGTGCAGAACAAACTTTCATACAAGAAGCCACAGGAGGGCCCGGCCGGCTTTGTGAGAACGTGGTTCCATTTCCAATGAGAGAATGTGCTCACCTCCCACCGCCTGAGAAAAATGTCTGCCCCCACCAATCACCACCAGAGTCTGCATGAGGGGGTCAGACAGAGAAGGTGGTGTTATTTTCAACAACTTGTTTTCGAACATAAATTAATATATTTTATTGTGGAAAAAAATAAATGCATCAGAGGAGAAAATAAAAATTACACCCAATGCCCATTGAAAACTTTTAGTATTGTTTTCAGTCTTTTAAAATATACAGTATGTACAGGTTTTACATCCAAAGTCTGTTCTCTTAGCATTATTTCATCTTCAATTCCCCATATCCTTAAATCTTTAAAAAAATAATAATAATGGCTGCATAATGTTCCATCATTTGGATGATAGCAACTCTGATTACTGGATATACAGGCTATCTCCCAAAATTTATAAGCAACTCCAAAAATGGAAAATCTTGTAAATGACTCTTTGTGCTCTTATCTGGCTGTAGAGCTCTTGTAGAACCAGGAAAACATAACGAAAGGATATGGCCATTTTTAAGGCTCTTGGTTAACACTATTGTTTTACCGAAAGCTTCTGCCAGTGTGACCTCCCGCTGGGAATGTGCAAGACGGCGTGTCCCACGGCAGCTCAATGGGAAAAATGAATTTTCTTTATTGGTTTGATGTATATTTTGATGAATGAATTTAAATATTTTACATGTTTGTTGAATATCTGTATTTTCGTTATTTACTTGTGTTCTTTGTCCATTTTAATATGGTTATGTTAGCACTTTTCTCATTGTTTTGCAAAATAGCCTTTCACATAAAAATAGGATTAATTCTTCACGGTATTTATCACAAACATCTTCCCAGCGTTGCTGACGTCGAGAAGTTTTAATGTTTCTGTGGTCAAACCCAATAACCTTTAACTTTTTAACTAATGTCTAAGCTTTTATATCTACAAAGTCCTTCTCTGAAATTTACCTACGTCTTCCATTTTTATGTTATTTTTGCATATAACTGTTAAATGCGTGTGGAATTTATTTTGGTATATGGGGAGAGCTGGGGATTATCTTTAATTTTTTCCACATGGTTGGTCCCAACATCATTGATTGACTAATCTCTCTTTCTTCATGGATCTTTACTATGTACTAATTTTTTATCTATATTATCTCTATTAGGTCTGTGTTTGAGGCATTCTGTTATACCCATCCATCTGTTGATGGTTTGATTTGGCTACTGAAGTTTTATAATATCTTCATTTTTCTTCTTTTCCCTCAAAGATATAATACTTTTAATATACTTCTTTCTGAAAATATTCTGGGCCTGATGAAGCAACCAGAATTTCCTTAGAAGAACATTTCAGGTTACTCCAGACCTTGTCTGTCTGTAACTGTCGTTGACCTGCAAAACCACCACTGTCTTGTCAGGATCATAGCAGATTTACAACTTTGTCCCAGGAAATTGCTCTTTTAATTTTTCCCTGCTCATCCTGGCCTTTTGCTTTGGAAGGAAAAGCAAACAAGGGCAGAATGAAGACAGAGCTTGGGTCTTGCTGGGTCACCTTCCAGGAGATTAATTTATATGGCCACCTTCTTCTCATGAAGGGCATCATTTGTCTATTGTCACTCAAAAGCAACATTTTGCATTTAGCTATGTGTACGTTGTACCCTGGCAGAGACACCCATAAACGAGACTAGTAGCTGCTCATTAAAGAACACTCAGCAAAGGGTAGGAGCTATATTTGTAACTTTATCACTAAATTATCCCGGGTATGCTACTGTCACAGCCTGGAATTCTGCCACACCATCTGTGAAATGAGGCTTCCAGACTGGACACTCTTCCAGCTCTAACACAGTGCAACTGGTTGTGGGCGGCCCCATCCAAACCTTGCAATGAAATCCTCAAACTGCTTTTGCTTCCCTGAAACCAGCATTTGCCAGAACTTTTCAATAGCTCGAAGTTCAGGCATCTTGGCATTTTCCTGGGTCTTCTTGCTTTGTGAACAGTCTTTCCAAGATCCCAGGGATAAAAGTGTCCCCAAGGTGTGAAGCAGATAAAAAGCAATCGCTGTGCAAGAGAAGAAGAAAGTTGTGGGGTATTTTCTCCCTCTTCTCATTAGTTTAACTTCTGACCGATTTAAACATTTGTTACACTTTTCCTGGAAACTTAAAAGTTTAATTTGGAATACAGTCATGGAGCGAAAATTCTGCTGAGTATATAACGCAAAAATATGGTTGCTAATGAGTGACACTGATTTAACAGGAAATAAGGAAGAAAAATACAAATTTTGGAAGAAAATAAGCAATTTCACAATGTTTCCATTTGCTCCAAATCCAACTTCATTGCTTCAAGGGGTAGCTTGGAAATTTTTCTCATGAAAGCACAGTAAATATTCCTGTAGACTGTCTACTTTCTGGCCTGGAAGAAATGGGTAGAAATGACAAATTTCCTAGAACAACTTCTGGGAAATTTGTGTTGATGGTACCTCTGATTTTAAACTCTTCATTGCTTCCTCCAGCAAAAACACACCAAATCATGCAACAACGCAAAACAGAGTAGCAAATTCCTGCTTCCTTAATTTAAAAGACTTTATCTTTTATTTCTTTGTGCTATATCCTGTGTGTGTGTGTGTTTCCGATTCATTTTGATATAGTTTAAGGAGATATCACAAAAGAATCTTTCTCTTCCCATTAGGATTTCTGATTTTACACCATTAATTGGCATTTTCAAAACACCAAGCGCTCAGTTTGAAGTCTACAAATAAAACACAAGCCCAGATGCCGCGTTTACACTTGTATGCATTTAACACTTCATAAGCAGTTCATTAAACTGATAACACTTTAAACTGTAACACTGCCTCTTTCAGACTCCCTCAGCCTGTAATTGTCCTGAGGCACCAAATGAATCCATCCTCGGCTGGGAACCACAGGAATTTACATTCCTGACGTGCGTCTCTTAATTATGGACACCTTGGTCCGGGGCTGACTCAGAGAGGGCTGGCTCGGGCCTGCACGCCCCAGTGACCGCGCACACAGGGACCGGCCAGGAGGAGCCGGGTCTCCGTCCGCGCAGGGAAACGCGCCTTAGGGCCGATGCAGGACAGCACAGGAGCAAGGCTGGCTCACCTCTTTCCTGAAACACCTCGGCTGGGTTTCAGCTCTTGGCTCTTCTCAGCAAAGTCTTTCTGACCAGACAGCAGTTTTCCAGGCGTGAATCTCGCTGGATAAAAAGGACTGGGGTGAATGTTCACGACCTTCTCCAGTTTCCTTCTGAAAGTAGCAATCCCCACTGCACGAGTTCTCTCTAGAAAACGAGAAAACGGGAGACTTGGTGCAGTCTGCACCCCATCTAGGCATAAAGCTCTAGGACGTGGGGGTGACGGTATTATTAGAGGCAGCAGGATGTCCTGGTGTCTGCCTACGCCGGCACAGTACAGGCTCAAGAACAATATAAAGGACAACAGTCCTTGGCTATTCTCAGCGTGCCAGACACAGTGCAAGCTCTGCATACATTTCATTCAAATCCACCACAATCCCATGAAGCAAGGTACAGGGCGGATACTGTTCCTCTTTTGCGGATGGTGACGCCGAGGTTCGCCTAGCCTGAGTCAACAGGGATGATGATGATGGATCCTGCAGTGTCTGAACACAGGGCGCGGTGCTAAGCGAGCCCTTCTAGCACCATCTCGTTCAATCCTACCAACTGAACAGAACCATTATTATCCCCATTTTGCAAAAGAGAAAAGGGAGGTAGAAAGGCAGTGACACAATTAGAATTCAAGTCTATCTGGCTCTCATGACAGGATGCTTGGCCTCTATGCTATGGTCCCCTCTGAAGACTTGGGGTGAGCACAGCGAGTTAGAGGGTCTCAGAGCCCGCCTCCTGGGGTTTCACCCCGAGGGCAGCAACGACCCGGCCCCTCTGCCCCTCCTGCTGAGCCTGGGCCCAGGAGCCCGGCGTTCCCATGCCTCCCGCCCTGCCCTGGGGATGATTTCCAGCCCCAAGGAACTGATGGGTACGGAAGGGTAATTGAGGGGCAACTCAATTGATGGGTAACTGACTGGCTGCTGATTAACCTCAGGGGGCTCAAGAGAGGCCCGAGGCGGTCCGCAAGCGCCCTTCCCTGGGCCGAAGCCCCACGGAGGCTCGGAGCTAGGATCCGAACCCCAACTTCCGGGCCTGGAATCCGGGCGGGGAGCCCAAAATGAGTGCGCGCAGGGGGACCCGCAGCGCCTCCGCGGCCGGGCGCACAGTGCCATCGCGCGGCCGGAGCGAGCAGCGCATCCGGGGCCGCCGACTCCGACCTTCGCCAGGACCAGGGTGAGTCGGGCAACTGCGGTGGATGGGGAGGGACTGCTATGTCCTTTAGGGAACATCCCTTGGTCTCCAGCTCTGGGCGCTGGCGGCCCGTGTGGCTGCAGCAGCAAAGGGAATGGCCCGGTGGGGTCCTACTTGGCCGAGACTCTTTGGTCAGCCCTGAAGTCTCAGTTGGGGATGCAAGGCCCCCAGCCTCCCACTGGGGCAGCGGGTTTGTGGCGGAGAAAGGAGCTCAGGTGGCAAAGGGTTCCGGGAACCTTCTGCTCCTTTGGGGGTACATAGGTCCCTGCACCCGGACAAGGTCATATCAAGGCTCATGCCACCATGCATTCATTTGTTTTATGGCTCATTCAGTAGGTCAGTCAGCAGGACAGTGATAAGCATTTACTATGTGCTAGGACCCGAGATAGGTGCTGATGATACAGAAGAAGACAAAAGGGAGCTTGGGGTGCAGTGGGCTCTTTCCCAGTCGGGTGAAGCTCCTGGGTCCCTTCTCAGAGTGTTTCAGGACACACACAAAAAATAAGATACACAGAATTACAAAGCAGCCAACTATACTGAAATGCAGTCATCAAAGTGTTTAATTGTCAGATAGTCATGTTTTTTGTTAATATATGATGTAACAAGATGTGCAGACCAGTATATTAACCACCCTTTCAAATAGTGATGAGCACAGATGATATTTCCAGGTAATGGTACCAAGTGCAAGGCAGGGTGAAAACAGCCATGATTGCTGTTGGTGACAGAGTCACAGGCACTGCTAATGCACTGTGACGTGTTGCCTATATTCATGACTGAAGAAAACGTTAGATTTCAGTTAGAAGTTAGTGAAAAGGTTGTGAATGCTTCCCCATCCAAGTTCACGGAGCGCCTGGATTTTATGCACAGAGCGCTTGGTTAAGAAGCTGGGAGGTGAGCAGATAATAAGTAAATAGACAAAGGGGGTAGGGACCATTCCAAATGCTTTGCAGGAAATCACCAGGGTGATTCTGACAATACAATCAGGAGGGGCCTGTGTCAGACGGGAAGTGGGGAAGGCCTGGAGATGTGTGCTGTTGAAAAGTCTCATACAGAGGTAGGAAATGGGCACCGCTGGGCCCAGTTTAGCCCATAAACCTGTGTGCACAGTCTGAAAATTTGCCTCTCATAGGCAGGACCTGTATTGGCCCTTTGACCTCAGTGCCCCCCCCCCCCCCCCACTTCTTAAGCCTGGTCAGACTTATTTACATTCCTGCCTGTGTCCTGAAGGCCCTGATGTGCAAAGTTGCAGCCCAGCCGTGGCACCAGCGATCTGCTCTCTGGAACTGAACCCCTTAGAGTTTAACCTGAGAGAAAGCTCAGTGTCTCTGAGTCCTGTTTGGGAGCCAGGCTCCTTATGGCTTGGAGAGCGCCGAACCTTCGGTCTCTACCCACCTTTCGGTCAAGCTGGATTCCCCAGGCCCCCAGGCTAGCGGGTCTGGGACACCTCAGGTCTCATCCACCGGCGCCCCCTCCAGCAGCAGCACCACAGCCGGCGTTCTGGGGGTGGTCGGTCGGCGAGCCAGGGCCGGGTCAGGGGCGGCCTTTGGGGTCGGGTCTGAACCAGCGTGGCAAGCTTGCGGGCTGATGTCAGGGCTGGCACCGGCAGAGAACAACTTTGTTGACAAGAAGATTAATTAGACAAATGTAATGCCGTCAGTTTGTACACCCCCCCCCCCCCACTCCTGGGGGTCAGCTCTAGTCAAGCTTTTGCTGGAGACTTTTTTCATCTTTTTAAAAGAAAGCTTAATCCCCTAGCAAGGCAGCCAGAAAACAATTCATGGCATGCCAGAGAGCAAGTACCTACAAGCAGATTCGCAAGGGCGGCTTCCCGCCAACCCCGGGCCCCTACGGGCGCGGCCTAGGAGCCCCCGGGCCTCTTCCTTCTGCCTGCACAGACCTGGCCCCAGGAAGCGTGTTGAGCCCTGAATCCTCCCTCAGGTGGGAGGACGCCCCGTTTGTGAGCTCTCTTGGTCTCTCTTCCTGTCTGCCTTTCATGGGCCAGCGTCCCTGGAGAGGGGCTGGCAGCCAGCCGCGCTGGGTCTTCGGGGCTCGGGGGCTTCCGCCACCTACACCTTCCCTCGTTTCAAATGCCCTTTTTCTCCAACAGGCGCCTGCCCCATTGTCCCATTGTGAGAAGTGGCCTCATTCATCACCCAACAAAGATTCATTGAGCCTGTTATTTGCCAGCAACACTGGGGATGGAGGGGTGATCTCGGTTCATCAGGCCCTTGCCTCGGCTGAGGGACCTTATATTCTAGAGGGGGAGACACAGCGATGAGTAAAATAAATATACGAATGAGCTAGTTTGTGCCCGTGGTAAAGGCCAAAAGGAGCTAAGTGAGGGGATGTGGTGGAGAGGGCCTGGAAGGGGCAACCATTTTGGAAAGGGCGCCGCTGAGGAGATGAAATTGCAGTTGAGACCCGAAGAGGGAGAGAAGCTACCTGGGGAGAGCTGGCTTTTTCTTGGCTGCAGGAGACAGGGGTCCGACGGTGTCAAGGGAGGGAACACTCTGAAGATATTTGTTGGTTGGATGAGTAAAAAAATGTTTCCAAGTTGTGCTTCTCACACTTCAGTGCGCATTAGAATATTCTGGGGGACTTGTTAAAATGCAGATTCCCGGCTCCCCGATTCAGAAGGGGTGGTGTGAGGCCTAGAAAGCTGTGTTTTAACGGCCCTCCCCTCCCTTGCACCCACCCCCACCCTGTCCTCTGACGGAGATGCTGCTACAGTTGGTGCTGGCCTGCCCGCGGAGCCCCAGCCCCGGAGCCCCTGCCGCGGCCCAGCTGGCAGCCATGGCGGCAGCCCTCGCCTTCAGCCTGAGCCGCGGTCGCCCCGCAGCCCATCTCCAAGCAGCCTGCTCCGTCCTGGATTCCGCCATCTCTGTCCCAGCACGCCTCCCTGAGGTTCCAGAAAGCCCTCCGAGTCAGGCTATGGATACCCAATGCTAGTGTAGCATCCACAGGCCCACCGGGGCTTTTCACGACCCAGGCCCTCAACTCCCACACGGCCCGCGGCGCAGGCCTGGCCTGGGAGAGGCCCTCATCCCCGGACCACCACAGCCAAGGAGCCTGAGCACACCCAAGGCTCCAGGGCCCAGACGTCTTCTTGGAAGTGGCAGGTGGATCTGGACTTCTCGTTAAGGGGTCTCTGAACGCCTCCTAGGGCTAGGGGTGGGGATGGATGGCCACTCAACTGCCCTGTCCAACTGTGGCCCTTTGAGGAGTGGAGCAGGGCGGTCAGCACTGAGCACTGGGTCTTCCAAGGGCAGGAGGAGTGGCGTTGCTGCCCCTGAGGCAGTCCCGTCTGAGCCCCGGGCAGGAAGGGGCGGGACTCCTCTGCCTCCTGGGCCCCTGCTGTCTATAGGGTGACGAGTCCCTGGGCTGGGATGTGGGGACCCGGTTCCTGCATCCTGTCCTTCCAGAGTTCATCCTGGGAACCTGGAGCCCTGAACCAACTCCAGGTCTGTGTGGGCCTCTCTCCCTGGGTCCATTCTCCTCTGGGTGACAGTGCAGCTGGATGTGTAGGTAGCGGGGATGGGGTTGTGGACAGAACCTGGGCACATGAGGCTGGTGTGTGGGCACAGGAGGCTGGTGCGTATGCACATGTGTGCACTCACTCATGTGCACAAGGCCCCTCCCAGCCCAATAAAGAACTGGGGGTGGACCTCGAAGGGGATGGGCCACAGTCCTGCTCCCTGCACTGCCACGTTCTGACAGGCAACTCCTGAGATTTCTAAATTCAAAGCTGGCCTTCCAGATCACAAGGAAGACATATTTATCAAGGTGGAAAAAATAACACAAGTTTATCTGACAACTTGTTATTTTGATTAATAACTTTTTAGTAATAGACACAAAGTATGGAGCCTCCAAAATGTTAGGAAGCACAGAGACTGTGGGAGGAAGTTACCAGAACCAAGGAATATGCCTCATGGTGGTGGGGGAGCAGGATTCTGAGCCCAGAGATGGGAACTTCCAGTGTTGGCCACGCCCCTTGTCTTGTCTCCACTGTGACTTGACCTTCACACAACGATCCTCCAGGTGTGGTTGGGGGACACCAGCCTGAGTTTCATGGGGGCGTGTTTAACACGCAGATCCTGGGGCCACCCCCCTAGGCCTGATGAATGGGGTCCTGGGGGTGGGTCTTGGGAAGCTGCATCTTTTGCCTCCCTTCCCACCCCCCGTAGATGTTTGGGGACCCTGGGGTGAAATATTTGCAGGGCACCCCTTTGCCAGCTGCACATGGAGGGTGCTCTAGGCTCATGGGGCCCGGCTTGGAAACCTCTCCTGTCCTTGACCTACCCACGAGTCCCTGGGCCTCGCCCGGAGCCCCCAGAGCCCACCCTGCGTGATTCTCCTCTAGGAGCGAATGTGAACTTACAACAGGATAGAGCGATAGGCCTGTGCATTATCCTAAGCCTGCCGCCAACGTGTGACCATGGCCATTTCTTCCCTCTCCAGGCCTCAGTTTCCCTGTGTGCAGAAGGGCCATAAAGGAGATTCAGAAGTATCTGACTCTAATAAACGTCCACGTAAGGCATCAGTTCACTTCTCCTAGTCACGAAAGAGAGTGCACATGGATTAGGAGATTTCCTGTTCTTTTGGCTGATGGTTTTTGGAGCGCTGAGTTGCCAGAGAGATGTCGTTCAAACAGAAGACAGTTCAGTGAATATGCAGTTCAGTGGCGTGGTTAAACAGCCGGACTAAACCCCATTTCCCAGTCTCTGCTGCCCTCTGCTGCCCAGCACTGGCTGGGACGTGCCGATGCAAAGTCTGGTGCTGGGCGTCGCTGAACCACGTTCTAGGGGTTCTCTCTTTACCCGCAGGGAACCTGAGGCTCAGAGTGGACAGTGATTTCCTCTAGGCCACACAGCAAGTCAGCAGGGCTGCTGCCTCCCCATCAGCCCGGCAGAGTCCTCGGGCTCACCGATCCTCCTGGCGCCCGGACCGGCAGCATCAGCAGCCCCTGGGAACAGGCTAGAAAGGCAGCTTCCTGGGCCCCACCTCGACCTCCTGCATCGGAAACTGTGGGTGGGGCTCAGCTCCCAGCATTTTAGGACACGCTCCAGGGGATTCACGAAGCACACTCCAGATGAGAATGGTTGCTGTCTCTTTGGAAGTAGAATTCCGGAGGAGGAATAGACCTTTTCTTCTTTTTTCTTTTTTAATCATATTGTGCATCTTTAAAATAAAAATAACACATGGGAAAATGCATAGATTTGACTCTTTTGTTTTCAGTTCCTGTCTGGGAAGATCAGTGCTGTGAGAACGTCTGGATTCCCGGAGCACACGGTGGCTTCTGCAGAGAACAGGACTCCTCAGGGACAGATGGAAGTGTTCTCTGATCTGGGTGATGCGTGCCCCCTCCGATGAGTGACAGCCTCCGCTGTCGAGCAGGATATGTGCGTTTCAGCAAGACGCGTCTGATGGCAGACGTCATCGGGCAGGCATGTGGACTTCCTGAGACAGTCCTGATTTGAATTCATGCATTCATGCGTTCACTCGTTTAGCAACTGTCTATCAAGCACCAACTGTGGGTTCTACAGACTGTGCTCACTGTTCAGCCTGCGTTCCCCAACTTGCTGATGCAGCCCGCTGGGGAAGGCAGATAATAGACCGGAAATTGCACATAAAAGGCATTAGCTGAAATTAATTAGTTGATGACTACATAAGCACTATGACGAGGATATTCTGGCTGCTCTGATGGGCTGGAGGGCACAGCCTAGGGAGAGGGAGGATCATAAACCAGGGTAGTGACACATCCTATGAAGGAGGTGGCCCTGAGCGCTCTGGGAGAGAGGACACCTCAAACTCCACTTTCCCAGGAGGTCAGAGATGGGTGGGCTGAGTCTGTTTATAATTAGAATTAAACATGGCTTTTAGTATTTTCTTATGAGACAATTTTGTTGTTGAAATTTTAGGAAATATGCATTGTACACATAAGATAAACATTTTTAACCACCTGTAATCCCAGCATGTAGACGTAGCCACTGACAAGAGTTGGCTGTAGAGTCTTCTGAATTTTTTATGTCAATATATGGGATAGTACATAATATATACTGCACTAGCTATCATGCTATATATTGGTTGGTAATTTGCTTTTTACGTGAACACTGTAGCATGAGTATTTTTTCTTTCTGCCCTCTCTTCATCTGTGAGTACCACTCTGCCAGTACCCGGCTGTGCCAGGGGCATTCAGGGCTCAATTCATCCCAGTATCTGTCAGGTTGTCCCCTGCCCATCCCCACCCCCCAGTGGACCCTGAACTTGTCAGATCACTGGAAGGGATTTTTCTTATTGAAAGTACGGTCACTTTAAGAAGACAGTGGCAGTGTTCTGGGGCTCACTGTGTGGAAAATCCTTACACGCTTTCAGATATAAGGATGCCCCAACGGCCAGGAGAGCATAAAATTGCGATCTGGGGGCTCCAGGCAGGAGGAGGGGAGAGCAGAGGGGACCCTGCATGGGAGAGACTGGGAGAAGAGCGTCTGGGGGACAGAGGGGAGGAGGGGCTGTCACCCCGGGAAAGCAGAGCCAGAGCTGGCTGGAGCCTAGGAGGGGAGCAGGGGAGGGGCTGAGGGGCACTTATGGGGCCGACATCTGGAACAAGGACCAAAGTCTCCTCTCCACAGGCTGTGCCAGTCAGCAGCAGAGCCATGTGCCAGTCCTGTGCCCTGGACCAGGCAGGGTCCTGGGACTCAACATCTGGAGGCAACAGAGCCTTCCACCAAGGTTCTGGTGACAACAAGGCAGGAGTGAGGGAGGGAGGATAATGGGTTCCAGTGCAAGGGCCTGCTCAAAGCAGCATGGGGGCATTAGCTGGGAGAGCAGGGGACGTGTGAAGAACGAGGGCACACAGGGAAGTCTGGGAACAGGAGAAAACTCAGAAAACCAACCTGCGTGTGTGCACTGCACTTCACAGTTTACTAGCTGCTTGCAGAATTTTGCATTTCATCAGCATCAACATCACTATCACTATCATTAAAAGTGGGAAAATTCAGATTGCATAGCAGAGAGCTCTATCCAGCCAGCAAGTTGGCTGATCAGCCAGCTCTCAGCCATGACGGCTGAGGCACGTCAGCTCTCTGTCACTGTCACTGATCGGCCAG